TCGCTCCCGATAGAAACTCTTTGTTAAATTTGAAAAAGAAAATAGCAGAAACCTTTCGTGAATATGCTGTCAAATGGCGCGAGCAAGCCGCCATGGGAAAGCCTCCAATGGACGAAGCTGAAATGGTTACGGCCTTCCCACAGGCCCAAGAGGTGGACTACTTCCAAAATATGTTGTCCGCTATAGGTAAGTCGTTCGCTGAGGCTATCAAAATTGGGGAGATGGTAGAAAATGGGTTAAAAACGGGCCGAATCTTGAGTCATGCTGTTTTAAGGCCACATCACAGGCTGCTCAGAATGGTTCAGAGGGTTTGATAAATAGAAATGGGAGAGAAAAGGGACCCACGATGGCTTCGAGCTCGAGGAGGGCCCGTAGGCCATTCAACCAATCATATATGATTCCTAAGGCCCCTCAACACTATTATCCCCATCAAGATGCTGCTTATGTCGTGGCGCCGCCTCCCTATGTGGTGATGAACGCGCAACTTTACACGCGACCATAACATTATATACAAAATCGAGCTCCACCACCCAAAAGGCCCATACTTTCCAAGCTTCATATAATCCCAACCAAATGTTCCCCAGTACAATCCTCGCCAAAAAGAGCCTTTCAGAAAGAATCTGTTCATCCCTATTAGTGAATCGTATTCAAGCTTGTTCCAAAAGCTAATCAAGCTAGATCTGTTGCAGCCAGTAGCCCCTAACCGGCCGAACACCGAGTCCCCCTTGCACCGAGCTGATGCTAGATGTGAATACCACTCTGGAGCAGTGGGACACAGTACTAAGGACTGTTGGACCCTCAAAAGGGTAGTTGAAGACTTGATAGAAGCTGAAAGAATCGTTCTTCGAGACGAAGAGGCTCATGATGTGACGAACAATCCATTGCCTGCTCACAACACTAGGCTAATAGTCGGAATGATCTGTGAAGATGAGGAATTTGATCCGGTATTGAAGGCCATTGTGACCATTGCCGAGACAGAAGAAAAGCCAAAAAACGGTCGCCAAGCCTGAAAGTTCCCTATCAGACATGAGTCTCGATAGCCAATCTTTCTATCCTTTTTGTGTCCGAATTATCTCAGGGTGTGATCCATGTATTTTACTTTATTGTCTTACTTTCCGATGTAAAACCCTTTTATCTTTAAAATTCAAAAAAAATCAAAATAAAAAAGGATTCAAAAAAATCAAATGAAATTAATATTTCATTGTCCAAGGATGTCTCTGTTCTTAATCTTGTCACTTTTTGTATTCTCTTTTCAGTTCTATTAATGCAGTTTTCAATGATATGACATGCTTGCAGACTTCATGCCCAGATCCTAAAACACTGTCAAACTTCGAAATAATGAATCAAGAATCAGAATGCAATGAAAATGGGATTAAGGAAATAAAACAAAGAATCAAATTAGCTAAAGAAAAATTGGCTCCAGATTGGAAAGATCCATAGATGGTAACGAGAGTACTGCCAAAAGAGAGCGTTGCACATGGGAAACATCGGAGGAAATGTCCCTGAAACAACTGTCAACGCAGGTGCAGTCAAAAGGTACTATGTTTGATCTTTTATATAGCATTAATGCTCCGATTGAGATGACGAAGGCTTTCTTTCTCGCTATCCAAACACTATTAACCCTTTTGCCAACCTTTTGATCCGGTTACCTTCCTTTGATTACCCTCTTTGAAACCTGAAAGTGTTATTGAAAAAAGAAAAAAAATAACCAAAAGAAAATAAAATGAAAAATGAAAAAAATAGAGGAAAAAGGAAAGGAAAAAGAAAGAGAAAACAAAACAAAACAAAAACAAAAAAATCAAAAACAAAGTTGCTTGAACTACGTTTGACTTGATTCCGAAAGGATACGTAGGCAGTCTCTCTCTGGGGTCCAGACACACCAAAATAAAAATCCATATTCCCTAAAAGTCCAAACTGGGGCATATGTTATAATGGTTCGGCGATGGTTTCGCCCAAAAGATTCCAAAATTGTAATTCAATCCAAATCCTTTTTACCCAAATCCTAATCAAGTCCTTCTGATCAATCGGTGAGAATGTTCAAGAATTGGAGGATACAATCGCTTGGATCTAATACAATCAAAATGAAAGAAATAAAATGAGATAGTCTTATTGGTAAAAACCCTCATGGGCACCGTAAGGCGATGGTAAGTAAGAAAATTCAAAAATGAGTCTTGTTAGTGAAAACTCGCAAAGAGTACTATAAGGCGATAGTAAAAAGAGAAATGAGAGAAGCCAGTTGGTGAAAACTTGCAAAAGGGTGCCATTGATCGACAAAAGGATATTCACGGCCGTGAGCGTCAACACAGTTCTGGGCAAGGTTTCTCGGTTCCGAGGCAAAATTTGTGATGAATTTCTGAGAGTCAGACGGTTTACACAGATCATGCATCCAGTCCAAAAGGCATATCATATTCATTAAAGTCCTCATGTACTCCAGATAAGTCCTTCTTTCCTTTTCCCGAATGAGATAACTCTTATCTAAATTCATTGTCCATTCTATTGTTTGTTTTTCTTTGAATCCCTTTTGGTCTAACTCTATTCCGAAACTAAGACAAAGAAAGGATGGTAAGACTGATTTATAGGTCTTTCGTTTGACACGAGCTAATGTACAAGAGGGCACCCAACCTTGGCAAGGGCATCAAGTTGACTTCGACTGGCCATGATGGATGATGTTTTGAAATTGAAAACTCTTGAAAGAAGGAAATCAAATTGAAGTTCGTACAAAGGCGAAAATGAAGTTGAAAAGGTTGAGTCCCACGCGACTAATCGTCTCGTTGAAAAGATAAGGATTCCCCAATGGTTTGAAGTTAAAAACGGGAAAAAAACAGTGAAAGGCCCATGAAAGCAAAATAAAGTTGAAAAGGTTAAGTTCCACGTGACCAACCGTCATGGTAAAGTTTTGAAAAAGACAAAGGTTCTTCGGGGCCAAAAATGAAATCGGTCTTCAGAGAACAGCCAGTTGCAGTTGAAAATATCATCAAAGAAGCGGGGCCAAGATCAAGTGACTGAAATAATCAAGGCCACAAAACCAAACACCGTTTCAAACTAACAAATTGTTCTTTTTTTGAAAAAAAAATAGGAATAGGTGCAATCCAAAAGTAACCTTGCAAGAAGCAGGTGCAACCAAAAAAAACTTGCGCAAGGGCTAGAAACAGCGTTGCAGCAACAACTCCAAAAAGGGAAGTCTCCTCCAAAATTCTGTCCCGCATTTACTCATTCTCTGAAATAAAAAAAATAAATAAAATAAATGATGATGAAAATGATGAAAAAAATATATATAAAAAAAATAAAGAAAAGGAAGAAAATTCAAAACCATGGTAGTATAGGGTCTCCTATCTCCAGCTGCATTTTCCAGCATAGGGTCTCCACTCCCTAGTTGACGTTATTTTTAGACATAGGGTCTCCTCTCCCTAGTCATTTTTCCAACATAAGGTCTCCACTCCCTAGTTGATAATTTTTAGACATGGGGTCTCCACTCCCTAATCGTTTTTCCAACATAGAGTCTCCACTCCCTAGTTGATGATTTTTAGACATAGGGTCTCCACTCCCTAGTTGATAATTTTTAGACATGGGGTCCCCACTCCCTAATCGTTTTTCCAACATAGAGTCTCCACTCCCTAGTTGATGATTTTTAGACATAGGGTCTCCACTCCCTAGTCACTTTTTCCAACATAGGGTCTCCACTCCCTAGTCACTTTTTCCAACATAGGGTCTCCACTCCCTAGTTGCATTCATTTTTAGACATAAGGTCTCAACTCCCTAGTCTCTTCTCCAACATAGGGTTTTCACTCCCTAGTTGCTTTAATTTTAGACATAAGGTCTCCACTTTCAGTCTCCATTTTCCTAGGGTACACCAATCCCGACCTTTTATTGCTTTCAATAATGAAGTAGTATAGAGTTTTGTTACCAACAACTCACGAAATTTTCTTGGTGAAAACTAGGACATAAAAATTTTGTTCGTTTGTTTGTTTTGGTGCCGGAGCTAGTTATACCTTGAGGCACAAGATTCGAGATGACCAAAAGAAGTCAATTCGAAATAGAGAAAAGAAAAGAAAAAGAATTGAATTCAAAGTGCAGAAGCGAAGTAAAGATGTGGATTGTTCAAGATACGACTGAAGTAACAAGCTTTGCATGTCCGATCTTGATCCAAAAAGCTGAAGAAGAATGAACTAGCACCTGCAGCTAGCAAGCATCAAGATTCATAACATAGTCTGCGTGAAGAACCAACCAAGACTCATAGATAGGAATCTTGTAACTCATAGCTGATAGACTTAGTTAGTTTCTTTTTCATTTTGATTTTGGTGTTATAAGGAGCTCAGCAAGCAGTAAACATCAACAACAATAGTGAAATCATAGTTTCACGGTAGTCCCAGCTACCAAACTTCCAGAACTACACTGACCTGATTCCTTTATAGCCAAGGATATGTAGGTAACCTTTGAAGCAAGGTTCGGTCAAGCTTTTTCAAAACGCTTCCCATGGAGTATCAAACGGGCAAAAATTTGTTCATCATTGCTCATTTTATTTTTTCCCAAAAACTCTTCATGTTTCCAAGCAAAGAGGAGCAGATGTGAGCATCTAATTTTAGCCCCACATAGGAAATTACTCCAAAATATTAAAAAATAGTTTTAGTGACTTTTGTAGAATTTTAGGAATTTTTATTTTTATTTCTTTGACATTCATTTGCACTTTTAGCATATTTTAGTTGCATTTCAAATTACGAAAATGATCAAAAAATATTTTCTCTTTTGCTTTTGCATTCTTAGATTTTTACTTGCATTATTAACATTTAGTTTGCATTAATTAAAATACAAAAATACTTTAGTTTGTTTTACATTTTGGGTTCAAATTAATTAATTGACCTCAAAATCGGAACTTGGCCAAAACAATTCCAAAATGGCCCAATTTTCGACCCAATCCACTCTCCTCCACCCACCCCACGACCCGCCTGGCCCAAATTCTTTTCATTAAAACCTATTCCCCCCTTCATTTAGAGATCAGACCCTTCCCCCATTTGGGAACCCTAGAGCCAGCCGTTCCCACCCTTTTAACTCCACATGAAAAATGCTCCATACCTTAGCTACACACCATCAAAAATCGGCGACACCATACACAACACACACATAGAAGTAGAGATGAAATATTGGACCCTCATTTCCTAACCTAGCAGCGTCGTCGCCTTGTTCATCGTCTTCTCCACGTGGACTTTCCCTCCATTTCAAAGAAAAAACTAAACGGACCCTCCCCTCCCATGGCGGTTCTTTCTTCTTCACTTCACCGCATGAAAGACATTAAAAATTCTTGAATCCCAGATCTGGAAAACTCAAAAAGCTCCAAATTAGAAAGGAAAACTAGAATTTGAACAAGGAGCTTCCATTTTCTTCTGGATTTCGGTATTAACTTTCTGGTTTGCTGAGGAACTCGCTGCTGCTTCTCTTTGCTGTTGGCTTGAGCATCATCCGCTATTTTCGGCCTTCATTTGGCTCACTTCAGCCTCATTCTTTGTTCGATTTAGAGGAGTTCGAGATTCATCTTCCATTTCTAGATTTTCGGCAATTAGGTATGTAAATATTCATCTGTTTTTCGCTTCAAATCTATGAATGAAGATCTGAGTTATTCAAGCCATATTCCCAACTGATTTCATAAATTCGTCACTGAATACGATTATGATTCATCTATTTTAGTTTGTTGCTCATTTTGGCTTGAATGTTAAACTGGAATTATTCTCTGTTTAAGTGTAGTTTTGTTCGATGTTCTGTTATGCCGGTTTTGTGAAATAGTGGTGCTAGTGTGGCTTGAAATTTCTGGTACATTTCTTCAACATTAGTTGTAGAAGTGCTCTATTGATCGGGACATTGCTGAAGTTTTGTTGTTGCATATTAATTGTTTGATACAAGCACAACATACTGTATTATGGATTCAATGAAACTATGCCTGTGTTGTAGTCTATAAAGCTTATTTTGGAATTACTTCTTTTTTGGGAGATGTCAAGTTTTAATGACCAGATGGTTTTCAAGTCTAAATTTCTTGGTTGTTAATAGTCTCTATACTGAAATTTTTCTTTCTGTTAAACGACCTTACTGTTGGTGATATTTTGTCCTTTGTGACCACAACGTTAAATTGAATTGTTCAAATCAGTTAAATGGATGTAAGTGATTCATAAGGAATTTGTGGTTGCTAAATTAGGGGTAGTGTTGAAAGGTAGAAATTTAGAATCTGCGGTGAAAAGCTCCATGGCTTTTGGCTTTCACGCTTGATTCCAAACGTAGGAAAATTAAGCAACTTTTGAACAATTGTAGTTTGCTTTAGGTACGATTAAATAAATCATCATGACCATGGGTATGGTTCCCGTGGCATGGTCACGATATGTAAACCCCAATTCGAGTGTGGGCGTCACGTGACTCGACCATAACTCAAAATAACAATAACAAAATAAATATATTGTGGATCACAGGTGCGTTTCACGTGACGCGATTCACAATGTGTACAAAAACTAATAAGTGCGAGATATCGCAACTTATTTAAATAAACTCCATAAATACTAAAAGCATTTAATTGAATAATTAAAAGGCGGTTAGAAGATAAAAGTGCACAATAATTTTAAACATGTAATTAATTAGATAATTAGGCCAATTATTAATAGTTTAGCGACTGTGCTACAACTACGAAATTCGGGAGTGCGTCACACCTTCTCCCGGGTTAACAGAATTTCTTACCCGATTTTCTGTGTTCGCAAACTTTAAAACAGAGTCAAATTTCCTCGATTTGGGATTTTAAAATAAACCGGTGACTTGGGACACTGTAAATATTCCAAGTCGTGACTCTGAAATCAAATAAATAATTCCATTTCGACACTTAAATTGGAAAAACTCCCCTATCCCTTCGTGAAAAAAAAGGTGTGACAGCTCTGGCGACTTTGCTGGGGAGAAGAACCTAGAATCTCTGGTTCAGAGTTCATAATTCGAGCTTAGAATAACTATTATAGTTGGCTTTTATTTATTATCTGATTTTTACGTGTTTGAGCCTAATGTGCTAAATGCCGCTTTTTACCGCTTTGATATTGTGTGAATTGTATATAACCTGTTACGAAACCCTTCTTCTCTCTCAGTCTTCTAAATCTTCTGGGAAGTGCACGCTGGCGTGACTTCTTTTCTGTTAGTATCATAACCTAATTTAGAACGAGGTTCGGACAAGTTGCAAAGCCGGTGAAGCTTCTGTATTCCCAGTATGCTGCACCTCCCCTCCCCCCCGACTCAAGTTGTCCGCTCGGGTAAGTCAGTTCTAAAATAATACACCCAGAATTTTAACTTAGAAGAACATAGCCTCATGATGGATTCCTAGTAGGAACGTTTGTTTGCATCACGTGCATTTGACTTTGGGGACTCAACACAGGGGTTGGGTCCGTCTAGGATAGGTGTACCCGAATTAAAAGTCCATCCTGATGCATCTTAAGTGCTACTTGCGCATCTGTTTGTTTCAGTTTGCATGTTGACTGGCTTCTAGAATAGGTAAAAAAATAAATAAAAAAAAACAAGAGTGAGAGGAGTATTTGAAATCCGAAACTCTACCGAAATTTTTTAACAAAAAAAAAATAAGCCAATATTTTCATAAAGTCATATTTTCCTGTTGCGTCAAAACTGACCGAACTATGCGGGTTTGTTTCTCACTGGATGTGAGATACGTAGGCAAACCTCATTGATTCCTGTCCTATTTTTCAAAATCCAAAAAATAAAAATAAAAAAATAAAATAATTCTTATTTCTTCTTTGGAAATCTTTCTTTGAGACCCAGTTTTCAAAAAAAGAAAATCCAAAAATATTTTTCGATTCCTTAATTCCTTCTTTAGAAGTCTTTCCTTAAAAAATTAAAAGAAAAAAAGGTTTTTAACCCAAAAATATTTTTCTTCTTTCCAAATTCTTTCATACGAAAAAAGAAAAGAAAAATCAAAAATCAAAATCCAAAATACGGGTTTCCTTTATTTTGAAGTATTTTTCCCAAAAATTCCAAAAAGAAAAAAAACGAAAATCCACTCGTTTCCTTCTTTAAAAGTTTTTCTTCGTAAATGTCATAAAAAATTGAAAAATTAAAGTCCAACAATATTTTCACTTTTCTTTAGAAGTACTTTTGTAAATTAAAAAAAAACTCATAAATCCAAAATATTTTCTTAAAAGTCCCTCTTTCAAAAATTAAGAGGCAACATCTAAAATTCAAAAATATTTTCTTCTTTAGAAAAAGAGAAAACAAATGAAAATTCAAACAAAAATATTTTATTTTTACTTTTGAATTTCCGAAAGTTCAAAACAAAAAAGAATTTTTAGAAGTTTTTCTTTCCAAAAAAAAATCAAAATCCAAAATCCAAAATGTTTTCCTTGTTAGAAGATTTTGAGGTATGATTTGCCTATTTAAAAATATTGAATAAATTATAAAAAGGGTTAACGCATTTACCTTGTTCCTAGTATTCCTGAACTACGTAAAATATCTGATTAGTGCGGTGTCATGATATGTAGGCAATCCCCATTGGATTCGATCATAGCCATAAAATTAATTGAGTGAAAAAATAATATAAAAAAAGAAAAGTTGAGTGAAAAAGAAAGAAAAGAGTGACAAAAATAAAAGGAAAAAAAAGCGGAAAAAAAAAGAGTGACAAAAACAAAAAGAGAAAAAGAGAGTGCAAAAAAAAAAGCGGAAAAAAGAGAAAAATCAAGATTGATAAAATAGAGGCAGAAATAAAAGAAAAGAGGTACAGTGAAAAAAGGGTTAGTTTAAGGCCGGGATGAAATATGCAACCGTTCAAATACATGGTAGAAGTGTTTAACTATTTAGGTGCATTGTATCCAGACATGCGATTTCCGATCTGTTAAGCGTCTCAAAACTAACATGGTTGTTGGGTGTGGAAATTAGCCAGGTTCTGTTCAGGTAGTTGGTTTTGTTGGTAATCTGGTTTCTCATCCTTACTTTACAAGATCCAAAGGAAAGGTTCCTATGGCCTCCGAAAGTGATCTACCAATTAGCGATCCTGAGGATAGCCTAGCATCGACAATTCCACAAGCAGAATCAGCAGTTGCTGAAGAGAATAGGATGTTGCGTCTCCGCATATTGGAAATGTGGGATGCCTGGTCTAATGGTAGGGAATCGCCAAGTGCAATCCCTAGGTTCCCTAAGTTGATCCCCAAGTCAGGTGAGGCTACCAACGCCTTTGTACCCAACCCGTTTATCCTATGCGGGTACGTCCAATGCCGTCTAATGGTCCCCGAATGCCTTCTGTGGTTCGCCCCCAGGCGCCGGTCTCAAAGGCAATGCCAACAATGTTCTCTACAGCACCAATCTGCACTACAGCACAACCAACTTTACCATGGCCGTATGTTGAGCATCCAATGTTCACCTTTCAAAGTCTACAGTTTCAACTTGAAATAACATATGTGACCCCATACTCATTTACTCAACCTCCACAATGTGACGCTTCGATGGGACAGGAAAAGGTTGTCAAGAATCCCGAGCAAGAGGAAATGGCTCGGAAGATAAAGAGCATGGAACAAAGTCTGAAAAACATGCAAGGTCTGAGTGGCCAAAAGAGGGTTTTATACTACGACCCGTGTATGTTTCCCCATGTTCACTTGCCAGCTGATTTCAAGATGCCAAAATTTGAAAAGTACGACGGGTATGAAGACCCGGTTGCTCATTTGAGAAGATATTGTAACCAACTAAGGGCTGCTGGTGGAAAACATGAGCTGCTAATGGCCTATTTTGGAGAAAGTCTCACTGGAATCGTTTTTGAGTTGTATACGGATCAAGAAATTAGCCATTGGCATGTGTGGGACGATATGGCCCGAGATTTCGCTCGCTAATTCTAGTATAATATGGACATCGCTCCCGACATAAACTCTTAATTCTAGTATAATATGGACATCGCTCCCGACATAAACTCTTTGTCCAATTTGAAAAAGAAAATAGCAGAAAGCTTCTGTGAATATGCTGTCAAATGGCGCGAGCAAGCCACCAGGGTAAAGCTTCCAATGAACGAAGCTGAAATGGTTACGGCCTTCCTACAGGCTCAAGAGGCGGACTACTTCCAAAACTTGATGTCTGTTATAGGTAAGCCGTTTGTTGAGGCTATCAAAATTGGGGAGATGGTAGAAAATAGGTTAAAAATGGGCAGAATCTTGAGTCATGCTTCTATTAAGGCCATATCACAGGCTGCTCAGAATGGTTCGAAGCGTTTGATGAACAGAAATGGGAGAGAAGAGGGAGCCATGATGGCTTCGAGCTCGAGGAGGACCCGCAGGTCATTCAACCAATCATATATACTTCCTGAGGTCCCTCAACACTATTATCCCCATCAAGATGCTGCTTATGCCGTGGCATCACCTCCCTATATGGTGATGAATGTGCAACCTTACACGCGGCCACAACATTATACACAAAATCGAGCTCCACCTCCCAGAAATGGCCATACTTACCAAGCTCCATATAATCCCCAACCAAATATTCCACAGTACAATCCTCGCCTAAAAGAGCCTTTCAGAAAGAATCAGTTCACCCATATTGGTGAATCATATTCAAGTTTGTTCCAAAAGATATTCAAGCTAGATCTGTTACAGCCAGTGGCCCCAAACTGGCCGAACCCCGATTCACCCTCGTACCGAGCTGATGCTAGATGTGAATACCACTCCGGAGCAGTGGGACACAGTACTGAGGACTGTTGGACCCTCAAAAGGGCAGTTGAAGACTTGATTGAAGCTGAAAGGATCGTTCTTCGAGACAAAGAGGCTCCTGACGTGACGAGCAATCCGTTGCCTGCTCACAACACTGGGCCAATAGTCGGAATTATTTGTGAAGATGAGGATTTTGATCCGGCACTGAAGGCCATTGCATCCATTCCCGAGACAGAAGAAAAGCCAAAAAACGGTCGCCAAGCCTGAAAGTTCCCCCATCAGATGGGAGTCTCGATAGCCAGTCTTGTTATCCTTTCTGTGTCTGGATTATCTCAGGGTGTGATCCGGATATTTTACTTTATTATCTTACTTTCCGATGTAAACTCTTCTATCTTTAAAATTCAAAAAAAAAACTAATGAAATTAATATTTCATTATCCAGGGATGTCTTTGTTCTTAATTTTGTCACTTTTCTTATTCTCTTTTCAGTTCTGTTAATGCAGATTTTTAATGACATGACATGCTTGCAGACTTCATGCCCAGATCCTAAAACACTATTGGACTTCGAAATAATAAATCAAGAATCAGAATGCAATGAAAATAGGTTTAAGGAAATAAAATAAAGAATCGGAACAACTAAAGGAAAATTGGCTTCAGACTAGAAAGATCCATAGATGGTAACGAGCGTACTGCCAAAAGAAAGCGTTGTACTTGGAAAATATCGGAGGAAATATCCCTGAAATAACTGCCAACGCTGGTGCAGTCAAAAGGTACTATGTTTGATCTTCTATCTAGCATTAATGCTCCGATTGGGATGACGAAGGCTTTCTTTCTCGCTATCCAACCCTTTGAGCCGGTTACCTTCCTTTGATTACCCTCTTTGAAACCTGAAAGTGTTATTGAAAAAAAATGACCAAAAGAAAATGAAATGAAAAATGAAAAAAAAATAAGAAAAAGGAAAAGAAAAAAAATAGAAAAGAAAAGAAAACAAAAGAAAAACAAAAGAAAATAAAAAACAAAGTTTCTTGAACGTTTGACTTGATTCCGAAAGGATACNTATATATATATAATAATAATAATAGGAGAATGGGCTAAAGCCCATTGGAAAGAGAAACGAAAAGGGCAAAAGGCAGCAAATCTGCTATTAAACAATAGAAGCTACAAAACGCTAAGAAAGAAAGAAAAAAAATAGAACGAAGAGAAGCGAAATCGGGTGAGCGACGACCATAGTTGGAGAAGAAAAGTGAGGGAGGAAACTAGAATTCAGGTATTTATCCCTATACATGACACTAACCTTACACATAATTTAGTTTGTAATTATCTTACCAATTATCTGGAGACAAGGGAATAATATAGCAATGACTTCTGGGAATTGGATATAGAAGAAACAAACATGCTGCTAGAAAAAAATTACTACTCTTCTACGGGATTTATTCTTTTAAATTTTGGGAATGATGATTACCTAATAATTGGGGCAGAATGTGTGTGGAGTAATAATTGTCTAATGATGGAAATTATTATGCATATTAAGGAGTTGAATTAAATATAGGTTATGTGCATAATGTTAAGAAAAGAGTACACGGTGTGTTTCGGGTTTTGCTATACACTGTTTCAAAGTTTATTGCCTTCAATTTTAATTCTAATGATTAGCTAATTATTACATAACGATTGAGAATTTCCGTCCTAAAGAATCAATAGAACTTTATGATATTGGATTAATAAATTATATGAATAGGTTGGAGTTGATAGATTAGTAATTAATCATATTTTGGTAACTATAATTCGCCGAATTAAGAGTTAAATATAAAACTCGGAGGATTGGATATTCTAAACTAGTGATGAATTTAGCCTAAATGAGGCAATTAACACGAGATCGGTGTTGATGTGGTTATAGATTGATTGAAGAAAGTCGTACGGATCGTCGAGGTGAAGAGTTTGGTATTTCGCACGAGTACTGTGAGTAGTAATCTTACCACAATTTGTGTTTTAATAACTTGCATGGTTTATATATGATTTTGAAAATAAATGTGTTATCGATGCTTTGAAATTTGCAAGTGGGACAAGTCCTTTACTTGGCATAGTACCGAATAATTTACTTGAGATGGTTACCGGTTAACCTAAATGTTTTTATCGTTACTAGATATGTTTTTATCGATACTTGAATTTACTGTTATCGAAATGAAATTTCATGATTTGATAAGAACCGAAATGCCCTATATTGTTTTAAAATAGTTTCTACGAGTATATACGGATTACAGAGACAAATATAAATGGGAGTAGCCATTGAAGGATCCTGTAGATAACGGTGGGTTCGTTAGACTTGGTGCACCTTGTAATTACCGGTTACCGTTATAGCCCTCGCTAGTGGGAAGGTAGAACTAGCATACCGTTAGCGATTTTCCTCAAGTAGGGACTACCGTTATATATGACTTCTTGCAAAGAAGTCCACTGTTATGCCGTTTACATGATCCGTTCATTGAAACCTACCAAAATATGAATATTAATATTATACAGTGGTTACCGAGCTTATTACAGAATTGTCAAGTGTATTATATTACAAAAAAAACATGATGAGACTGAAAATTATTTATTGTTTCCGAAAGGGCATTCTTATGTTATTTTTTGTTTAATATACTAGCATGTTTTCTGACTTGTTCCCAATAAAAACGGTTGTGGTTAAGTGTTATTACTCACTGAGCTAGTGACTCATTCCCCGCTAAGTTTTTTTTACAGAGACAGCAGCTGACGCAGGCAAGGATTTCGTTAATTAAAGCGCACAGATTGATAGTTCTCGGTGAGCCTTGCACTTGTTCACGTGGGCAGAGATTTTATTTATTTTCATGGTCTTTTTTGAACTCTTAGAGTCGCTCCATGGTCATTCTTTTAGTGTCTTGAGTAGTCTTTGTTATTATAGACTTATGTTGAGTAACGCTCATTCCTATAAAAATTTGGAGATATAGTAGTATTTCTAGTTGGTAGTGGGTGAACTGTTAAAAGTAGATTATTTTGGTTATTTGATAAAGTCATTGTCATTTGAAATGCTATTAGGATGTTTGTTGCTGATTTGAGACAGGAAAATTTTTGGGGTGGTCCAAAAACAGGGGAAATTCTGTCTGATTTTCTGTAAAATTTCCGATGAGGCTTACTTGGGAGCACTAGCTCCTGAGCGTCGGTCACAGTCTTAATTTGGGTCATGACACAACCTCTCTCTGAGGCAGATATTATAATGGTTCGGTGATGGTTTTGCGCGAAAGATTCCAAAGTTGTAATTCAATCCAAATCCTTTTTACCCAAATCCTATTCAAGTCCTTCTGATCAATTAATGAGAATGTTCAAGAATTAGAGGATACCATCGCTTGTATCTGATACAATCAAAATGAGAGAAAGGAAATTCGTGGGCATCGTAAGGTGATGGTAAGAAGAGAAATGAGAGAGGCCAGTTGGTTAAAACTCCCAAAAGAGCACCATTGATCGAAAAGAGGATCTTCATGGCCATGAGCGTCAACACAGTCCTGGGCAAGGTTTCTCAGTTCTGAGGCAAAAGTTGTGATGAATTTCTAAGAGTCGTACGGTTTACACAGATCATGCATCCAGTCCAAAAGGCATGTCACGTTCATTGAAGTCCGCATGTACTCCAGATAAGTCCTTCTTTCCTTTCCCCGAAAGGGATACCTCTTGTCTAAATTCATTGTCTATTCCATTGTTTATTTTCTTTGAATCCCTTTCTATGAAGACCCGACCAGTCGTCTCATGAGTTACCGCTCCATTTACCTCATTTCTGCTTCTTTATGCTTTGTTTATCCGTGTTATGTGGTATCAGGTTGGTCGGATCGAATCTGGAATGATTTTGGTAAGGTTTGAGACACTTAGTCACTTTTGAGGAAGCTTGAGCTAGAAAAGTCAATTGGATGTTGACTTATGTGTTAGAGGGATCAAATGTGAGTTCCGATGGTTCGGATAGCTTCGGGGGTGATTTGAGACTTAGGAGCATGATCGGAATGAGTTTTGGAGGTCTGGAGTAGATTTAGGCTTAAATTGGCGAAAGTGGATTTTTGGTGATTTCCGGTTGGTAGGTGAGATTTTGATATAGGGTTCGAAATGGAATTTCGAGAGTTGAAGTAGTTCCATTGTGTCAACTGGGATGTGTGTGCAAATTTTCAGGTCATTCAGACGTGGTTTGGTTGGATTTTTGATCAAAAGCGTAATTTAGAAGATTTTGGAATTCTTAGGCTTGAATCCAATGTGAATTTGATGTTTCGATGTTGTTTTGAGCATTCCGAAGGTTGGAAAAAGTTTGAATGAGGTTATGGGATATGTTAGAATGTTTGGTTGAGGTCCCGGGGGCCTCGGGTGAGTTTCGGGCGGTCAATCGGACCATTTCATGATATTGAAAATTGCAGAAAACTGATGTGTGTTGCAGAAGATTTAGACCTTCACGTTCGCAAGTGGGTCCTCGCGTTCGTGAAGGTTCAGTTGATGAAGGCTCGGATTTAAGCCTTCGCGTTCGCGAGAAAGGCTACGCGCTCGCGAAGGGCTGGATGTTTGTGCATCGCGTTCGCGAGAAGGGGAGCGCGTTTGCGTAGAGGAAAATATTGGTCGGCTGGGTTTTTGGTCGAGTTGTTCATCGCGTTCGCGAGAGAGGGAGTGCATTCGCGAAGAGTAATTCTGAGGAGCTATCACTTTCGCAATGGGCATGTCGCTTTCGCGTAAGAGGATTTTTGGTCAAATTCATTTTATGTTTCGCGAGCGCGAGGCTTTCACCGCGTTCGTGAAGAAGGAATTAAGGCCTGGGCAGAATGTTTAAATACTCGTCTTGTCTGCGATTTTGGGGTTTATTTCTCCCGTTGTTGGTCATTTTTGGAGCTTTTTGAAGGGGATTGAAGAGGTATTCAAGGGGAATCATTTGGAGGTAAGATTCTTGGACTTAAAACTCGATTCTAATGTGAATTCCACCTAAATAATCATGGAAATTAAGCCAAAAATTGAAGAACTAGGGCTTGAAAATTTACACTTTTGATTGAGAATTTGAAGGACCATTTTAGGTCAGAGTTCAGAACTTTTTATATGTATGAACTCGTGAGGAGATAAGGAATCTATTATTGTAAAAATTATCGAATTCCGAGACTTGGGCCCGGGGGTCAGGTTTTGGTAATTTCGGGATTTTGTGTCGCATATTAATTATTTTTGCTTGGGCTTCATTCCATTAGCATATTTTGGCATCCTCCTTCTGATTTTTGATAGATTCGACGCGAGCGGAGGCCGATTCGAGGGGCAAAGGCATCGCGAGCTAGAAATTTGACCGGTTCGAGGTGATTAATGATTGTATATGATGTTCTAAGGGTATGAAACCCAGGACTTGCACATCGTTGTGCTATATTGAGGTGACGCACATGCTTGATGACGAGCGTGGGGTCGTGCACTGTTGGAGATTGTGACTTGGTCCGTCCTGAATGACTACTTTACTGCGTATTTGACTGAAATCTATTTGCTATCATAATGATTTGGGCTGAATGCCATATTTGGGCCTTGTGCCAACTATTTGAACCCTTCGGGTATTTTTACTAGTGTTTCCTCACTATTTTGACTTTGTACTTGAACTCAATCATGTTATATTTCACTCTTTTCGTACTCAGCCATGTTTACTCTATTTTAACACTTATATGATCTTTTAAATGACCTTTTTGGGCTAAGAATCATGTTTTACTATTTCCTGAGTGGCTTGTGAGGATTTTTGACTGAGTGAGGGCGAAGGCCTATGTTGTGAGGAAACATTTGATACCGATTATGAGGCCGAGGGCATGAGATATGTACGTTGCGAGCTGGCTTGATTGATATGAGGTCGAGGGCCTAGTGATGATGCCACGAGGTGGCTTGATATTGCGCTTGGATCGTAATGGCCCCCTCTAGGAGTTTGTACACTCCCAGTGAGCACGGGTACCCATTGTGATGTGAGATTGAGCCTGAGGGGCTGGTATTGTGCTATGTGATTGCCCGAGGGGCTGGTACTATTTTGAGATGTTGCCTCAGGGGCGAATTTGTTGATACTGTGCCTGAGGGGCGAGCCTTTATGTGTTTACTTTTCACAATTGATTGTCAATTTCCTACTTAATTATTGAAAAAAACCATTTAAAATCAGTAAATCAGTGAAAGATAGGTAAAATTCCTTAACTCAAACGTAGTTTCATGAAAAGCCTACTGCTTCATTATAGAACGCTTTGTGCTTTACGTGATTTCTTGCTTTTAGTCTTTATTTACATTTGTTACTCACTGAGTTGGAGTACTCACTTTACTCCCTACACCCCTGTGTGCAGATTTAGGCATTGTTGATCCTGCCAGTGCGAGTTGAGAGCTCCCAGCGTACATTCGGAGTTCACGAGGTAGTTGCTTGACATCTGCAGACCTGTGTTTCTCCCTCTTTATCATTTCTATTTCTGATCAGACATTTGTACTAGCTTATAGACTTAGCAGACTTGTATTATGACTTATAGATGCTCATGACTAGTGACACCCCGGTATCGGGCTGTGTTGAGTTATTTTCCACGAATTATGCTATTAACTGCTTAAACCTTGGTTTATTTGATCATGCTTAGACTGTTTCTTAATGCTTAACTGTTAAATACTAAAATGGGTAGTGTCAGCTGGCCTTGTCTTTACGAGAGTCGCCATTACGACCGGGTCCGAGTTTAGGGTCGTGACAAGATGGTATCAGAGCCTAGGTTACATAGGTCTCACGAGTCATGAGCAGGTTTAGTAGAGTCTTGCAAATCGGTACAGAGACGTTTGTATTTATCCTCGAGAGGCTACACACCCTTTAGGAAAAATTTCATATTCTTGAATTCTTATCGTACGTCCTTGATTTAGCTTGAAAAGTAACTCTTTGAATTCCTTCCACGCGTTCGTATGCGTGCATTAGCACTCGGTATCATATATGCATCGATAGCTTGTGATTCTCTGATCGAGGGGCGAGATGTGATCTTTGTGCGTTGATGTTGCTAGTCTGGAGGACTCGAGGTCGGATCTTCGCCTATAGCTTGAGCCCTGAGTTGTTATTTTGTGAGTGTGTGTTTCTGCATCTATATGTTTTGTTGTGTCCCTATTAAGGGAGGTGATGACTGGATAGTTACGTGATGAGTGTGTTGTGACTGTGAGATGTATTCATGTGATTTGGAAGCAACGAGAAGGGACTGCTGGAGGATAGAAATACTATTAGGTGCTCGATTTTCATCTTGATTTGAGGTATAGCCTCGAGTTATGGATGTGTGAAGAATCCTTCCATGTTTCCTAGTTGGGAGTGGAGTAAATTTCATGTTGCGGTCTGAGTTTAGACTTAGGAAGTTTAAGTGACTGCGTAATGTTTATGATGGTGGAAGGTATACAGAAATGCTAGGTTGAGGAAAAGCAAGTGGGTTATCTCCTGCGGAGTGTTCTGAGGTTGTGTGATCCTTATGTTGTCCATTAGAAGATCTCATTTACAAGTGAAATATATGTATTGCAATTTAAGTTTGGGTCGCTTAAGAGAGTGGGTTTAACCGTTATGAGAGTGAATGAGAGATTTGCATAAGAGTTAAAGTACCAGATGGTCTGTGTTTCACAAGCTTATGAAGGATTGAGTTTAATCTCACTATAGTATTATGGCAGCAATAGAGTATATGCATTATGAGTTATTGAGTGTGTTTTGATCTATGGCTTCGAGCCAAGTAGGGGAGTCTGTTATTGATTAGTTGACTGCACGGTTATGTGCTATGTTGGTTCCAATTTGAGGCGTTTGGGAGAATCAGTCATCGGCTTCAGTGCCAGTTACTTTACCACCACCCGCCCAACCAGTAAGGGGTGGAGGTTAGTCAGCTAGGGGTCTCCCCAGAGAGGAGGTTGATCAGGTGGTCGTCAGGCCCGTTTCTATGCACTTTCAGGCAGACCCGATGCCATTGCTTCAGATGCTGTTATTACAGGTATTGTTTCAATCTACCACAGAGATGCCTCTGTATTATTTGATCCTGGTTCCACCTTTTCTTATGAGTCATCATACTTTGCTCGTTATTTGGGT